ATGTGTCATTGCAAAATATTTTTTCCCATTCTGTGGGTTCCATTTTTACTCTTTTGGTGAAGTCTTTTGATGTACATAAGTTTTTAATTTTTAGTATGTCCCACTCATCTATTTATCTGTATTTGTTTGTGTACTTTTCAAAATGTTTGGTAGTCTGTGTATTCCTTGTATTAGAGCCCTCACATTTGTCCCTATTTTTTTATTGATGACTTTCATAATTTGGGGATACACATTTAGGTCTTTAATCCATGCTGAGTTGGTTTTTATATAGGGTGTGAGGTAAAGGTTTTGTGTCAGTCTTTTGCATATCACTTTCCAGTTCTGCCAGCACCAGCTGTTAAAGAGACTATCTCCTCCCCGTGTAACATACCTAGGCACTTTGTCAAAAATCAGTTGGCTGTATGTGGATTGGTTAATTTCTAGATTCTCAATTCTGTTCCATTGATCAATGTATCTTTCATTGTACCAGTACTAGGCTATTTTGACCCCTGAGCGGTGTAGTAGATTTTTAAATTGGGGAGTAAGAGGCTTCCAACCTTGTTCTTCTTGAGCAGTGCTTTGCTTATCCTGGGTCACCTTCCTTTCCATGTAAGAAAACTGACATTTTTATATTCCTGTACTCATATTACCTTGTAAAGTGGTAGTATGAAATTATTACTTGCATGTATATTCATAACTAAAAACATTTCAGATATTTTGACCCAGTAATTCTTCTCTTAGTAATTTACCCTAAGAAAAAACTTCAAATAATGAAGAGAAAATGTGCATAAAAGCATGTTTATTGTACAGTTTCAATAATAACAAGCAATTAAATCCTTGTGAAATGTTTTTAGCACACAAAAAGAATTAATTAGTTATGTCCATTTAGTAGGCAGGGCAAAACTATGTAAACTATGTTTTAACATTACATATAATGAGAAAAGGTAGAATACTAATTGATTAGTGTTTTGATTGATTTGAAATATATATTTGTGCATGTGGATGATTAATGAAGAAGAAAGAATGGTAATGTATTTTTCTTGTACTAATCAAGTGGGATTTTTTTCTTTATACAAACTTTTCCCACTTCTTTTTCAGAATGAAAAATAAAATAGGTTAGAATGACTAATGGGTGGTACAATAGTACCAGGTTTCTGTGGTAGATAGTAACAGATTTTGAGTGCCTGAAGTTAGAATTTTAGTCAAAAGCAAGAAAAATGAAGATAAGTTGTAGCTTAACAAATTAACCTAGCAACTCAGTGGTGCATTGACAATGCTAAAGGGCCTGAAAATGCTTTGGGACGTCAGATACTCTGTATGCAGAGGAAAAGAGTGTAGACCCTGGTGGTGAGACTCCTTATGGGTGAAGCCCAGAGACAGGAGACACAGTGTGCAGAAAAGAGGTCTTGGCTCTCTTATATTGGACAATTCATTTCTTCTCTGGCCCTTAGGTTCCTTTTCTTTAGCAAGCAATTCTTGGAATAAGTCATTACAAAGTCCATCTCTTTACTTGCTGTATTTTTTCATCCTAAATTCTGTCCAAGTATATTCACAGCGTAATCAACAATGCAGTATTTTCCTAGTAAATGACAGTTGTAAAGTCTTTTGTGGCTGTTCTTTTTTTCTTGCAAAGAACCAGAACCAGTTAGAAAGTCAGAGAAAGAACAGGAAATGAATTCAGCTCTCTTCTATTTTCTCGTACTTGATTACAGAAGAGAAACAAAAATCTCCTTCCCCTTCCTCCCCACCTCCCAAACATTTCCCATGGCCACTTCCCAAGCTCAGCAATCTCTAACTCTACCTATCTTTAGTGAACCTTTGAAAGAGATCCGGGCCAAAGGAGAAACTTTATATTTAGTTTCCATGACTTCAGCCTTAGGCTTTCTCAACCCAGGTAATAAATAGCTTTTGGAGAGTAGTTAGCTTTTGCTGCCCTTGCTGTTACCCCTCTCCCTGCCCATACTGTCATCCTGCCAGAATGCTGAAAATCTGGGCACATTCAGCCAGAGTTGGATTTTGCAGATGCTACTGTACTGGAGAGCGTTGTTGTTATGTGCCGTGGAGTCGGTTCCGACTCATAGCGACCCTGTACAGGGTTTCCGAGGCTGTAAATCTTTACGGGAGCAGAAAGCCTATTCTTTCTCCCGAGGAACAGCTGGTAGTTTCTAACTGCTGACCTTGCCGTTCACAGTCCGATTTGTAACCACTACACTACCAGAGCTTCTTGGTTACGAATTAAGCTGAAAACCTCAGGGTCAGCAGTTCGAAACTACCAGCTGTTCCACAGGCTTTCTGCTCCTGTAAAGATTTACAGCCTCAGAAACCCAGGGTTGCTATGAGTTGGAACCGACTCCACGGCACATAACAACAACAACAACAACTGTACTGGAGAGTGACACAGACCTGAAAGGGGAAAGAGGATATGAGAAGCAGCAGCTTCAGGCGCTAACAGGACCCTTGTCTTGGCTCTCTGAGCTAGACAAATCCTCCTTTCCATTATGAGGAGTCTTTCAGGCTAACCATTAACCACAGGGAGGGTTAGCGAGTAATCAGAATGACGAATAGAGGTATCCTTGCCTTGAAGACTTACTCAGGGCAACAAGAAAAATACTACTCAGCAGTGTTTGGGTTCTCAGCCTTTACCCATATATCTCATCACACATTTGCTTATAACATCCTTACATGCACTCTTTTCCCTCCCAGTGGGTTAAATGGAAGGATTTTTTGTTTTTGTTTTTAAGGATGAACTAAAATAACACACAAAGGAACATCAGTACCTGGTGTGTGTCTGTGGACACAACCTGACTCTGAGTGTGTGTGTTTTTGTGTGTGTAGGCAGTAGGGCACAGTGGAAGAACGGTGGTTTAGGCATGATTCATTCCTTCACATGTTCATATCACAAACCTTGCTGAGCTCGTAACGTGTGGTCAGCACTATGGTGAGCACAGGGAATGCGGAAGTGAACAAGGAAATAAACTCTGGAGGGGAACAAGCAAACAAGTAAATCAGTCAGAAAGGTGTGGGCTCTTTGTCTAGCTCCACCATTTAAGGGCTACATGACATTAGACACGTGACTTTTACCTCACAGATTCTCAGTTTCGTTATCTATAAAATGAGGTTTTAACTGTCTTCCAGGCATGTCTAAGGCTTAGAGACAAAGTGTCTAGTTAGGATCTGGCACCTGGGAGGTGCTCAATAAATGGTAGGTGTGGTTATGGTACGGACAGTGTTTCAAGCTAAGATTCTTGCTAACTTGCTATGGAGTGAAAGAGAAAGGGTGAAGACCAAAAGAACGAAGACATGCAGAACATATAAGCAACACCCCAGCGACAATATTGAAAGTGCTTATGCCCCTTTCAGCACAAAAGCTAGACAGTTGCTTTTACTACTGTTCAGGAGTCCTGGTGTGGTGCTGTGGGTTACTGTGCTGGCCTGCAAAGTTGGTTTGAACCACAAGGTCAGTGGTCCAAGCTCAACGCTATACAGGGTTGTTATGGGTCATAACTGACTTGATGGCACTTAATAACAACAACAATAAGCTTCTAAAAACAATACAAAAACACTAACTTGAATTCAACCTCCGTGTGTTCTTAAATCAGTCAAAGGTGAACTGTGTGTCCAAGTGCTTATGAAATGAGAGGCCACAGAAAAGATGCTGGGATGTGCAAAGATACCAATAGTGGGAAACAGGAGGGGTGACATCTGCATTTGAAATCAGGCCATGTGGCTGAGCAGTTGGAAAATCCAAGTGAAAAAAAAAAGTACTATAGGGATCGAGTCTTGATCATGTACTTGTACAGTTTGCAAAAATGTGATACAATTTCATAATGTAGACTCATTCAACCATTAAACCAGTGGTGATTAAGCTGGATGCTGAAATACAATGATAGTAAAACCTCTGTGCCTTCAGAACCTCCATCCAACAGAGGAAACAGGTAGACAAATTACTGTAACAGAGTATGAAGAAGAATATGGAGGACACGTTTTGGGAATATGGAGGAAGGAGTAATCTGCTTGGTCAGGAAAGATAAAGAAAATGTCACCAAGGAGATGGCATGTGAGCTAATATCGATTCTAGATTTTAAAGGATAAGTTGGTTGTGGGAGAGATGGAAGCTTTCTGATAGTGGGGAGTCACTTTTATTATCATCCCCACTTTGTGGTCGCTCCTAGACACCATCAATCAGCCTCCTCTTTTTCAATAGCTTTTCCACCTTGCACAGCACAGGCAAGAAGAGCCCATTGTGTACAGTTGTTTGTGTAAACACTAGTTAATTGACTTTGAAAAGCTACATGACTTCTGAGGTCCATACAACTAAAATTATTAAAAGTTCACAGTGAAATTAAAAACCTGTCCGAAAACTGTTTTGATGCCCTAATATAAAGGAGAAACTCTGGATTTTGATATATCATCAGCATTAACTTGATTTGCTTATAGGAGTATGCTGTTCTTCAGTGTCATCAAGTGAGTTCCAACTCATGGTGACCCTGTATAGGGTTTCTGAGGAGTGGCTTGTAGGTTTGGACCACTGACCTTGCGGTTAGCAGTCCAGTACCAGCATCCTACAGTACTACACCAAGACCCCTATAAGAATATAGACAATAATAGAAAATGGAAAAACAGAAGTATAAGCTCTTAAATATGGTTTGTTGTTGTAAAATGCCATCAAGTTGGTTCCGACTCATAGGATTTCTGAGGAGCAGCTGGTGGGTGGTTTCAACTGCCAACCATGGAGCTAGTAATCCAGGGATTATTCTACACTAGGACCCCTAAATATGATAGTTGTAGCAATGAATCAAGAACATGGCTTTGTTTTATGTGAAAAAGAAGCAGTGTTTAATCTGAGATGTTCCTGTCTTCTATGGGCTTTTTGAACCAAACACTGTCAAACCCAGGTAAAAGTATTTATGATAATGATGGCAAAAAAGCTATGCATAACAAACCAAAAGTGTAATGACTCTGGTGGTTAGAGGGACTAACGAAAGACCACTCTCATGTTTTGCATGTCTTCTTTCTTGAAGGTGGATGATTCAAATTGTGACCAAGAACTTCTTTCCCTACTCCTGGATGCCAAACTATTGGCGAAGTGCATCTCCACTCCCTTTTACCCCCGTATCATTGACCACCTGTTGGCCAGCCTGCAGGAAGGGCGCTGGGACACGGAGGAGCTGAGCAGACTCTTATGGGAGGCTGGCCATGAAGCTGAAGCGGGGTCGCTCCTACTGGCCATAAGGGGAACTCATCGGGCTTTGAGAACTTTCAGCACAGCCCTCAGCGCAGGACAGCACTGGCTGTGAGTGTGTCTTCCATGGGCCCATGCCACAATCCCCAGTCTTCCTTGGGAAAAGATAAGCCACAGCCAAATGTTCTTCCCAGAAGCAACATGTGTACCAGTTGATTGTTCCAAGTGATTCCAGCAAATTGCAAATAAAGCTGTATATAAATTATTAGCAAGATTCCATTAAAAATGTGTTAATCATTCTTATAGTGGCTGCTTAACATGCTTTCTTAGTAATAGAGAGACTCTCCCCCACCCCTTCTTAACTGCCTTTTATCAGTAGAAGGCAATTAATGAAGTACCTGGAACCCCAGAAAATTTGGGGTGGTAGTATAAATAGGGTTGTGTTAAAAGAGAAAAATGGAGCAGAAATGGCTGGAGTAGCAGTGGAAGATGAGGAGGAAAGATGATCCAAATTATTCCACCTGTCTGAATCTTAGTCAGATAGCTATAAAATGAGGGTCATATTACCTGTCTCACAACTTGTTGATGAGTGTGTGTGTGTGAGGTTGTATGTATGTGAGACTCTGTCAGATACATAATAAGGGGCCAAAAGTAATTGTCCTTCCCGTCATGACCATAGATAGGTGATCAGTACAAACACTTAAGAATTACTTACACTTGAATTTTGTTGTTGTTCAGTTTGACGAGTCAGTTCTGACTCATAGCGACCCTGTACAGGGTTTCTGAGGAGCAGCTGGTGGGTTTGAGCCACAGACCTTGTGGTTCACAGTCCAGTGTTTATCCTACAGCACTGCTCTTCGGAAACCCTATACAGGGTTGCTATGGGTCAGTAACAACAACAACAAAGTGAATTCCAGCTCCCTAGGTATCTGTGAAAGTCTTGGTGTGACGCCATAAGATAAACACTGGACCACCAGGTAGGTTTGAACCACAAGATTGATGGCTGAAACTCACCAGGGTTTTTAGAAACCCTATAAAGAGTTGCTATGAGTTGGAATTGACACGGTGGCACTAATGGCATTTATCTGTAAGACTTTGAACAAGCCATGTAATCTCTCTGAATCTTATTTTTCTTATCCACAGATAGGGCTAACATTGCTTTTCGGGGTATTTTGGCAGTTAACAAATGATGCTTTTGCATCATTGCCAATCAAGGTGTCTGCCCTGGTGGGGTGGGACCCAATCTGCCAAGGGACTCCTCTCTGCTGCTGGCGCAGGGCCTTGTTTCATATGGAGAAATATCCCTGATACAGATATAGCCTAGATTTCAAATACATGAACTCCTTTAATCATTAAGATAACGTCATATGGAAATGGAGGGATAGACAGCTTACAGAATTTGCTCAAGGTTACGAAGTTAATAAAGACTGGAACCATGATGGAAACTCAGGTAGGTTGACTCAGAACCAAGCCCTTTCTGCAGTGCTGTATTAACTGTAGTCACCTCAGCTCTTCTGGATCCCTTGGTTAAGAAGGTCTGATGAATTTCCTAGAAGGCATTTGAATGAAACTGTGCTCTCTTTCCTATCCCTCCCTTCCATTCAGGAACTGACAAAAGGTCAAATGGCCTCTGAATCTTTCCAAAGTCCCAGCTCACAAAGGTGAGGCACGCTTCAACTTTTTTGTTCAAGTGTCGTAGTGCTGAATGAACCATCCAAACTTTGTTCCCCACTTCCCACCAAATAGCTAAGAGTCCTCTTTCTTTTCAAACCTGTCCCAATATCCCAGATTTCCTAGCGGGTGTAAACAGATTTGACCACCCCTTACACTGTTCTTAGACAATTATTACTAGCCCATCACTTAAGATTACTAAAACAAGACTCTATCAATGGCTTCTAAAGTGTTATCCATCTGGACCAATAGCTATCATTCATGGCTACCTATTAGAATTACCTGAGGATAATTTTAAACATTCTGATGATGGAGACCCCTAAACCAAAACAAAATCCCACTGCCATTGAGTTGATTCTGCTTAAGTGACCCTGCATAGGACAGACTAGAATGACTCCTTAGGTTTTTTGAGACTATACAACTTTATTTTTGCTGTTGTTAGGTGCTATCGAGTTGGTACCAACTTATAGCGACCCTGTGCACAACAGAATGAAACACTGCCTGATCCTGAGCCAATTGTTGCCACACTTGAGCCCATTGATGCTACCATATTGCCAATCTGTCTCTCTGGGGGTCTTCCTCTTTTTCTCTGACCCTCCACCTTACCAAACAATGTCCTTCTCCAGCAACTGGTCCCTCCTGACAATATGTCTGAAGGATGAGAGACAAAGTTTGGCTATCCTTGCCTTCAAGGAGCACTCTGGCTGCACTTCTTCCAACACAGATCTGTTTGTTCTTTTGGCAGCCCATACATGGTACTTTCAATATGTTCTGTTTGAACAATTGCCTCTTGGTCTATGTACAGGTTCCTCATAAGCACAATTAAGTGTTCAGGAATACTCATACTTCGCAATGTTGTCCATAGCTTGTCATAATCCACACAATTGAAAGTCTTTGCATAGTCAATAAAGTACAGGTAAACATCTTTCTGGTATTCTCTGCTTTCAGCCAAGATCCATCAGACATCAGTTGTGGAACAAGGAATATCATTGTTCATTTCAAACTCCTTCTTTAGACAGCATAAGAGATGGTTATTCACATGGACCTTACCAGATGGAATACACAGAAATCAAATTGACTACATCTGTGGAAAGAGACAATGGAAAAGCTCGATAGCATCAGCCAAAACAAGGCCAGGGGCAGACTGTGGAACAGACCATCAATTGCTCATATGCAAACTAAAACTGAAGTTGAAGAAAATGAAAAAAAAAAATTCCACGAGAGCCAAAATATGACCTTGAATATATCCCACCTGAATTTAGAGATCATCTGAAGAACAAATAGATTTGATACATTAAACACTAAAGACTGAAGACCAGAAGACTTATGGGATGACATCAAGAATATCATCAGGAAGAAAGCAAAAAGTCACTAAGAAAAGAAAGAAGGAAAAGGTCAAAATGGATGTCATAAGAGACACTGAAACTTGCTCTCCAGCACAGAGATGCTAAAGCAAATGGAAGAAATGAGATACAAGAGCTGAACAGAAAATTTCAAAGGTCAGCTTGAGAAGATAAAGTCAAATAGTACAAGGAAATGTGCAAAGATCTGGAGTCACAAAAGTAAAAAGGAAGAACACGTTCAGCATTTCTCAAGCTTGGGGAGCTGAAAAAAATTCAAGCCTCGACTTTCGTTATTGAAGGATTCTCTGGACAAATTATTGAATGATGCAGAAAGCATCAAAAGAAGATGGAAGGAATACACAGAGTCACTGTAACAAAAGGAAATGGTTGATGTTCTGCTGTTTCAAGAGGTAGTATATGATCAAGAGCCAATGATACTGAAGGAAGAAGTCCAAGGTGCATTGAAGGAATTGGCAAAGAACAAGGCACCAGGAATTGATGGTGTCATTCTACTCTGAAATATGTGGGTTTGGCCTAAATTGGGATAGCGTCAACAGCAACAAATAGAGCAGGTAATCCACAGTCTATTGGATAAAGTAGAAAAATCTCTAAATGTATTAAAGTGGGACATTTATCATTCTGATCTAGAAAAGGGATAAATCAGTTTAGGTAAAAAAACAAACAAAAGACACCGAATCCTTGGGGATATCACACAGTCAGTAATTCCAATGCTCTCCATCCTTGCAAACTTCTTTCAGAGCTCAGTCTTTCCAAACTTACTCTGGATAGTAAATTTAAAATATTAGGCCTGGGAGTAAATTTGCAGATTGGGGTTTCCCTTTTGTCAGGGTGTTTGTAGATTGGAGGGAAACTTTGAGGTCACCTAGGCCAGCCTTCCAGCTGGTCCCCTCTTCAGTTGCTCTGGCTGGTGTCTCACAAAGCAGCCTGTTCTCAGAAACTAGTTTTCTTTGTTTACATGTTTCTTTTATTTATTTAATGAGCTGCAAAGTTTTCCATTCCGGCTATTGGGTCCTCCCTAGGCCTACCAGCATTCATTGCTGGTTTCCAAGGGATCTTGTCCTCAGCTGCTATTAATATCATTGAGTCCTACTGTTCTCTCATTGCCTTCTGCTCACAAATTTGGATACCAAATCCTTCCTCCCCTGACCGCTTCTTGAAATTTCTTTCTGTATCACTGTGGCAATTGAAATCCCCATTCCTCATGTTACCTGGATTCTGTTCTCTCTGGTCTCCTTACCACCAGTCTACAGTAACCATTCTCTTAACCGCCACAGACATCTTTCAAAAACCATCTACAAAATAGCCCTTAAAGGAAGGGCTCATTGGTCTGAAGTGTGATGAGACCTGGGGGTTCCTGACCCCATAAACAAGGAGATAACCATGGAGGGCTAGAGCTAAGAGTGAAGTATCCAGCTGATATGAAGTGAGGGGAGATGCATAAGAATGCCCAAACTTGCAGATAGTACTCATTTGACCTAGCCTTGATGACTTAATAATCAGAATTTGACTAGAGGAAAATGTAAAAAAAAAAAAAATTTATAAAGGGAACAAGGGTAAATTGCTACAGTTTGATGAACTTGACCTATACTCATGGATATAGTAGCTCAAAATACCAACTGAGAAGGAAGGAGTCTTCACATCAAGTATCAATCCTATCTCCTCTATATACAGGGTAGATAGGGACAGGCAACTTAGACAATGGCCATCTAAAATGATGGAGCGATAAAGGCACGAAGTGACTGGCTAACAAGTTTTTAACAGGGAGTTTAGTTTAAGAGTGTGTGGGGGAAGATAGAGTCCCCACTAAATAGTTTTCATCTTGTCTAGATGGGTCTGATGAAAAAAGATGGGGATAAGATTCATCTGAGTAATTGTTATCACGACTAATTGCCATTGTCACAACTCTATAGGTAGAAGTTTTGTAACAAAAATGGGGGAGTAGTTAATCTTACAGTCCAGAAACCGAGGACCGTAGGACCATCAAGGGAAAAGAGCACAAGCAGAATGCGGAACCCTATCCAGAGAAGCAGCAACACCAGAGATGGAAGCAGAGATGAGGACGTGGAGAGAGGGAGCAGCT